ACAGCAGCGGTTCCTCCAGCTCGCGCAGGAAGGACTTGAGGAGCGCGGCCGCCACGTGCACGCCGCTGTCCTCGTCGGCGAACGCCTCGAAGTCCACCTCTTGGCCGGCGTTGAAGCGCGTCTGCAGCTCCCGCACTGTCGAGGCGTTGGCCGAGCGCCGGAACAGTCCCTCCGTCTGCAGCGCGCGCTCGTTGTCGAGGAAGGCGACGCACGTGCGCACGACGCGCGGAACGGCGTCCATCGCGTTGTTGGCCTTCAGACTGAGAAAGAGTTAGTTTTGGTTTTCGCGCGCTTTCATTGTTCTCACAATTGGAGCGAAACTCGGAATTGCTGTGTGTTTGGGATCTGCGCGCCGGCAGTGGTGGAAACGCTCTGCCGGCTGCGTTTGGCCACTTTGCGGTCGTGGCTGCGGAGAGAACACAGAGTTAGGACACACAGTGAGCGCGCGTTCTGCACTTTACTCCAAGAGTTGTTTCGGAAGAAAGAGTTGTTTGAAGTGAAGAAATGCTTGCAATTCCTCCAAATGCGAGATGTAGTGGATTTTGCGGCCGAACTTCGCGCTGACAATGAAGAGTGTTAGCAACGGAACGCAACACACGCACACTCACCTGATGACGGGGCGGAACACGTTGAAGAGGAGGCGCACGAAAGAGGTCGGGTGCACGAGGAGGAGGGCTTTGAGGTTCTTCTTGTACTTGCGGTCGAAGGCGCGGAACGCCGTCCACAGCCACCGAATGGAGGGTTTGTTGCGGGAGTGGAGGCCGAAGTGGAAGTACACCAGAGTGTAGTCGCTCTCCACGAACGTGTCCAACGTGTGCAACAAGTAGCGCAGGAAGCGCCGCCAGTTGAGCGTCTGGTCGTCGGGGAGGCGGCACGCGTAGATCGTGATCACTTTGCGCGCGAACAGGTCGTCCCCCACCACCTCCACCACGCCGTGGCGCGCGATGTCCGCCCAGTTGTCGTCGCCCTCCCCCTCCGCGCCCAACGCCTCCTCCAGCGCCTCCTCCAAGTGCTCGTCCTCTGAGCGCAGGTATTGTTGCGCCAAATCCTCGGCCGAGTCCTCGCAGTCGTCGCCAACTGAGTGTCGAGTCGTGTCGAGTCCGTCCTCGAGCTCCGTGTCGTCGAACTCGAGCTGCGGCTCCAGATCCAGGTCTTGGCCGGAGATGTTCTCCTGAAACGAACACAAGTTGTCCTCCAGTTCTGCGCGAATCACAAAATGGCGTCAAAACTCTTCAAACATTCAAAAGTTGTTTACCTTTTGTCGAAAAATCCATTTCAAAAAAATATTTTTTTCATTTTCGATCAGATTTCTGGAGCTTTCGCTCTCGAGCCAAAAGAGGGCGCTTTCCTCCACTCAACGCTCTCTCAGAGCGCTCTTTGAGCCGCAGTTCGCGTATTAGTGATCCGATTGTGACGTCATTTCGCGTCAAACGCTTTCGAATGGCTTTCGATTCGGAATTCGTTTCGACTTTCGGTTCGAAACACTTTTCGCTGCAATAGTTTTCGGACGTAATTTGTGTTTCGCTAATACGTGTCAATGAGTGGGAGTTTTGGTCCCTTTTATGACACAATCCTAATAAGGATGTCGTGAGAAAAGGACTCAACGAGCGATCACTGGAAGTGTCTTCCCTTCAAAGATGACTTCTTCAGCGATCGTCACTTTGGATCAGTTGGTTTCGGCCGCGTCTGTCAAACACGTGATCGCATTGTACGACAAATTGTGCGAAACTCTGGCTTTGCGTCCGTTTTGCGGACAATTCGAGTTCTTTTCGAAATTAAAGCAAAAATTGTTTTCAAAATATTTGCAAAAATTCAACAAAATTTCGACAATTCTTCAGAAACTGGAAAAACGGTCTCAAAATCGGCAATACTTGTCGAACGCGGCTCTGAGTGGTCAGCGCGTGCTCGTCATCGGCGGCGGCATCTCCGGCCTCCGCGTCGCCATCGAACTGCTCTTTCTCGGCGCTCAGGGTTTGAGTTGTAATGCAAGTTCGCGACCCCTGACTGTTGTCTCTGTTGCAGTGCTGGTGGTGGAGAAGAGGGACGCGTTCTCGCGCAACAATGTGATCCACTTGTGGCCGAACGTGATTCAGGACATGAAGGCGTTGGGCGCCAAACGCTTCTACGGCCAGTTCTGCGTCGGCGCCATCGACCACATCGCCATCCGCCAGCTCCAGTTGATATTGTTGAAGATCGCGCTCTTATTGGGGCTCGAGTTCCGGCCCAACGTCCAGTTCGTGGAGTTGTGCGCACGCGCGCCAATCAGCCGCTGCCAACCCGGCCTCTGCCAGTGCTGCTGTCACGCGCACGGCGTCGGCGGTAAGTGTCACGTGTCATGTCTTTTAACTCTAACCCTGTCTCTCCCCAGAGGGCGCGTCGGCGCACTTCAGCGGTCGCGACGCGGAAGCGCTGAACGCGCGTCACTTCGACGTGATTGTTGGAAGCGACGGAAGGAGAAACACGCTCTTTCAGGACTTCCCGCGCAAAGAGTTCAGAGGGAAGCTCGCGATCGCCATCACCGCCAACTTCGTGAATCGGCGGACGGAGAGTGACGTCAGAGCGCTGGAGATTTCGGGCGTTTCCTATATTTACAACCAGAAGTGGTTCCGCGCGCTGCACACGGATCTCGGCATCCAATTGGAGAACATCTGTTACTATAGCGACGAAACGCACTATTTCGTCATGACGGCCACCAAGAGCTCGTTGTTGGCGCGCGGAGTGCTGCGCCGCGACTGCGCCGAGACGCACCTCCTATTGGACGACGCCAACAGTAAGTGTGACGTCAGCCCTGTGTTCGGCCAATCACGGCTCTCTCTCAGTCTGCAGGGAACAGCTGTTAAACTACGCGCGCGACGCGGCGCACTGGACGTCTGGTCTGCGGGACTTGGAGTTCGCGCTCAACGGCTCGCAATCGCCGGACGTCGCGCTCTTCGACTTCACGTCTGTGTACGCGGCGAAGAACGCGTCGCGCGCCAAACAGGTGCGCACCACGTGTTGCTCTGGGGAGGCGCGGTCGAAGCACGTGCTCATGATGCTGACCGGGGATTCGCTGCTGGAGCCGTTCTGGCCGACGGGCAGTGGCGCGGGCCGGGGCTTCCTGTCGGCGCTGGACGCGGCGTACACGGCGCTGCAGTGGGCGCTCAAAGTGGTGCCGAATCGCGGGGACGCAGAGCGGGAGTTCGCGGCGATGGTAGAGGTGTTGGCCGAAAGGGAAAGCGTTTACCGGCTTTTGGCGCAAACGACGCCCGAAAACATTTCGCTCAAAGACTCGCTTTTGCCGCAAAATCGGTACAAAAAGTGGACGAAGAACGCGATCAACGAAATCAAGATCAATATCCAACATCTCATTGGTCCACAACTGCCGCAAACTCCGCCCCAAACCCGATCTCTGGCCGCGAAACGCGCGCGAAGAGCGACAGTCGCCGTGACGTCACGTGACGTCGAGGACAACGATTTGGAGGAAATTCGAAAGGAATTAGAAATTCAAAGAATAAGAGAAAAGACGACAGAATTGACGACACATTCGACGACAGAACTGACGACAGAACTGACGACAGAGACGTCGACGACGACAGAGGAGACGACGTGTCGCGCGAGTACTTCCATCCAAAGCAAAGCCGATTGGCTGTTGGGCTCGAGTCAGACGCCCGCAGTGGCCAACGGCCGTCCGGCGCCGTCCGAAGCGATCGCAGAACGCGCTCTGGAGTTGGAATCGAAGATGCTTTTGGAGAAAAAACCGTTTTCGGGGAAATTGGAAAAAGTGGGGAAAATCGAGAAAAACGACTTTAATTTCAAGCCTTGGAATGAAAACACGTTTTTCGGTAAATATTCGCGAAATTCGACCGAAAATTCCAAACATTCTTTCATTCATAGAATCGAAGCCGAGGAGAGAAGCGCCGCCGCCGCCGACGCTTCCCAACTCGCGCGCGATTCTCGAGTCGCGAAAGAACCAAATGGAGCGGAAGTTGGAGGCGAAGAAAGCGGAAACGCGACCGGAAGTGAAGACCAAAGAATGGGTCGAAAAGATGAAAGAGGAATTGACGCGACGACTCGGCGCTCGAGAGGTGGCGCCACTCAAGTGCTCTTCAATGCCGCAATGCGTGCGCTGCGGAGTCGACGTGTCGGCCGTCGAGCGCATCTCCGTCTGCGGACACGTTCTGCACCGGTATTCCCGTTATGGCTTCCACTGTTCGGCCGCTAACTCTTCTCTGTTTCAGTTCGTGTCTTCGGTGTTCGAAATGCGGAATCAGTTTACGTTTGAATGAATTTCGAAACGATTTAAAGTTTTTTTGTATCTTTTGTTTGAAAAACAATTCGAAAATCGATTCTCAAATCAAAGCGAAAGAAATGTTTTTGAAAACCAATCAAAAAATAGATTTTCGCGAAAGAATCGAATTTCAAAACGAAACTCAAAACGAAATCGAAATCATTAACAAAACGGCAGTCAATGAGGAGACGACACCCGACGACGAGGACGACGACCAAGTGTTGCCTTTTGACAATTCCAGTGAATGTGATTCGACGACAAGTAGTGACGACGACGACAGTCAAGAGTGGGAAACAGAGGACTCGGAAGACGACAGCGAAGACGACACCGACGACGGAGAGGACGTCAGTGACGACAAGCGGACGACAGACACGACGACAGCGATTGTGAGTCGAACTCCTATTTCGAGAATTTCTAGGAATTTATTTGAATTATTTAAAGGGTTGTTATGACAACAGAAAAGTCACGACAAGTGTTCCCGCAGTTCTTTGTCGTCCGAAATCGCGACGCCTTTTGGCCAAACTTTTCCCTAAAACCTATTAACACTTGTCTTTGGCTTTGCTTTCTTTGATAACTCTTTTGAACTCTTTTTACGCCTTTTTAACGCTTATAACAAAACAAAACAATTCTAATCCAAAAGCCGTCGATTCGTGTGACGCGCGAGACTTCGGACAACAAGGCTTTCGACGACACGAACGACGACAACAATAACGACAACTGCTTCCGACCGGAAGTCCGCTATTTGGGCTCTTTCACGGAGAAGTTGTTCCGCTCGCGCTCTCAGCCGATGATTGCGTTCAGAAATCGGCTGAAGATTGCGGACAAAATCGCGGACGACGACGACATGGCGTCGCTGCTGACGACACTGCCGTTCGCGGACGACGTGTTCGCGGCGCAGCACTTCTCGCCGGTGCGCGCGAAAGCGCCGATCATAGACTTTGAGGACATTTAAATAAATTTATTTCTGTTTCAAAAGTTTGTTCTCTTTCTCCAATTCGCGCACTTTTTCCGCCAATTGTTGCACTTTGCGCTCCAACTCCTCCATGTACTCCTTCTTCTTGCGCCGCGACTCCTGCGCCGAGATCTTGTTCTTGATCTTCCGCCGGATCTTCTTCAGCGACCGCTCCTCCGATTTGGTCAATGGGAAGCGCTGCGGAATGGGATATCCTTCGGCCAGAAGCGTTCGCTTCTCCTCTTCCGTCAGAACCACTGCCGAGCCGTGGATCGCGTTCTTCGGCTGAATCGAGATGAGCGTCGTGGGCGACGACGCCGTGACGCCGCTCTTGACGCCGCTCTTGCGCCGGATGTCGGCAATGCGGCGGAAGTCGAGCGGTTTCTGTTCGATCACGTGATGGAAAATGGTCTCCGAGTCGGAGCCGCAGTGCGAAGAGGGCGGAGTGGGCGGAAGGCAGGGGTTGTTGAGGAGCGCGGCCAACGTGGAGACCGGTTTCGTCGTCTCTGTCGTCGTCGTCGTGGCGACGGCGGCCTCATTCGCTTGAAGGTCAATGTCTTCTGGTTTTGGGTCATTGGAGGTCACGTGAAACGAGTCAATGAAATGTTGAGGAATTTGTGGAAAACCGGTTTTGAAAGCACTAATACCTGAATGAGAGCGAAGTCTCGCTTCAGCGCTCAGTGAATGGCCTTTCGATGAACTCTTCATCGCTTTCGGTGAGCGCCGCACCAAAGGACGACATTTGGTCGTCTCGTCGTCCGAATCGACGACAAACGGGTCGTCGCGACGTCGCCGACGACAATGAGTGTCGCTCTCGTCGTCGTCCGACAGAAGCGTTTCCGACATCAGTCTGTCGTTCAGAATGATCACCGAATAATGAGTTCTTGAGTTCCAGTTGAATAATGAGTTCGAATCGACCTTAAAATCGAATTTTCGAGTTTAGAAAAACTTTGCAAAACTGTCGCAAACTCTTACGTCGTCGTCGGCGGCCACGGGTGTCGTCGTGTCGTCGCCGCCGTCGTCCCAAACTGTCTCCTCGAGCGCCGATTCAATCATCGCTGCATTTATTAACAGATGTTTTAAACCAAACGTCAAAACAAGAAATGAATGAAAGCTTTGAAAAACAACTTTAAAAACTACTCAACAATTAAAGTGCGCGACGCGTGCGCACAACCACTCACTGTCGCCGCCCGTCTGTGAGGCGCTGTCGTCGCCGACGACCGCAACGACGACCCGACGGACGACGCAATCAATTACGCAATCATTGAATCAATACTTTTAATGAGATTTAATTTCACAAAACAATAAATAATAATAATAAATAACGACTAGAGATGGCGTTTATTTCGACAATTTCGAAATGACTCGAATTAACGCCGAATTTTCGTCTTTTAATCTCGAATTCTCTTTTATGAGCTCTTCTTTCGTTCGCAACTCTTCTTCCAGTTCCGAAAGTCTTCGCAATAATTGTCTTTTCTCTCTCTGAAACTCTTGGAAGTCTTTCTCTTGTCTTCGATTCGCTTCAAAGTCTTTCAACTTTTTCACCAAAAACTCGTTCTCTTTCAACAACTCTTTGTATAACTTCTTGTAGTCCTTGTCGTCGACGGCTGTCGTCACTGACGGTCGCGTCGCTTCACACTCGCTGTCGTCTGTCGTCGGGAGACTACCCCTCGACGACGAACGCGACCGCGTCTGAGGTGTCGTCGCATACGTCGCCGCTGTTGTCGTCGGAGTCGTCTTCGACTGCAAAAAAGCAAAAGTCATTTCATTTCGCAAACAAAGCAAACGTTTTTACAAAAACGAAATTAGAGTTCAAAGGAGACGAAAGTGACGACAGATTCGACTGCGAGGACGACGCCCGCAGTCGGCTCTGAGGCGACGGCTGTGCTGTGCGTCGATTGAGATGCGGTTGTCGTCGATGTGTCGCCCCCGACGTCTGATACGACGGCGCAGTCGTAATGAACGGCAACTGCGACGACGACCCGAACGGCAACTGAGTCAACGATCGCGACAACGACGACGACGACAACGACGGGAGTGTCGAACGGCTTGTCGTCTGAGACGACGTCCGAGGATTGAGAGACGATCTCTTCCACGAACCAAAAGAAGACATATCTCTGCGTTTAGGGCGTCGTCTCGAGACGTCTATTAATAGAACAGTTTTTGGCAAAACTTACAAAAGTGTCGGAAGAGTCGCTGTCGGCACGAGAGGGCGCCACCAGAAAGTCGTTCAGTTCCAGATTGTCTTCAATGCCAGTCGAACGCCGTTTCGGACGCCTTCGCGCGTGCACTGCAGGCGGACCGCCGTTTTCGGTGACCGGCGGCGAAGTGGGCGGAGATGAAGGCACTGCTGGGGGCGGAGTCAGGGGCGGAGTCATGTGAGGGCTGTCGTCGTTCAGAGCTGTGAAAGAGAACAATGAGACGACACGAGACGACAGTCGCGACGACAAACCGTTTGGTGTCGTCTTCAGCGCCATTTCGATGTCCTCTTTGGAGACGCCTTGCGTCGGCCGTCGTGTCTCGCGCTGTCGTTTTGCGTTCACTTTGCGCTGAGTTTCCGAACCTTTTAACGGCTTTTCTGAACGCGATTTCCGCGTTTCGGACAACAATTCGGCGACTTTTGGATTCTCGTGACACAAATCCATGACTTCGCGCGCGTCCGTTGTCTTGAGCTCGAAGTTGGCGCCGAATTTCAGCAAAACCTCGAGAGCAGTGTTTTGTTGCCAAAAGGCCGACGCGTGAAGAGCTGTGAATCCGTCGAAATCGACGAACGAATCGATAATCGAATCGAAACTAGAAATCGTTTCCAAAATCCGTTGCAAACAATCGTTATATCCTTTGGCGGCGCACACGTGCAGAACCGTCGCTCCGGACGTCTTGTCGCGCGTTCGCTCCACATATTGTCGGATCTCTTCTTCCGTCGGAAACGAGTTTTCGGCCAAAAACTGCGAGAAATCCGTTTCTATTTGCTTCAGTTCTTTCGCTCGCAATTCCCGTAACAACGACTCCGGAATCAACGCCGAAGTGTCGTCAGTCGTGTCGTCAGCGGTCGTCGCTGTGGTCGTCACTGACGTCGTCTTCATATCCTTAAGCATCCGCTCTTCGATCGCTTCCAAACACGTGTCGCCGTCGCAGACGTCGCGCGCGAGCTCTCCGTCGCAATTGATGGCAAACACGTCGACGTCTTCGCGGCTCAACAGCGCGTTCACGACCGCCGAGTGGCCGCAACTGGCGCTCGCGTGCAGCGGCGTCCAGCCCTCGTTGTCGCGGCAGTTGACGTCCGCGCCGTTGTCCAGAAGCCACGAACACATGACGAGGTTGTCGTCGATCGCCATCTGATGCAAAGCCGTCAGTCCGTCGCCTGTCGTCGCGTTCACGTCCAGCGCGCGGTTGCAGCGCAACAGACGCTCGCATTCCTGGACGTCGTTTTGGGCGACAGCGGAGAGGAAGAGGGTTTGCGCCGAGAAGTGGACGCGCGCGGCGTCGGGCGCCCTCTCTTTGTCGGCCTCCCGCGTCCACTCGTGCCACCGCTTGAGCTGTTGGGCGCGTCTTTGGAGCGCGTTTTGTCCGCGACTTTCCTTCGCTTCGCTCTCTTTCGCCTTTTCCTCCATTTGTGTCGTCTCTGCGCGCATGCGCTCACTCTCTCTCACAGAATGCAAAACAATTCAAACCAGTGTTTGA